TCTTCCTTTTCTCCATCCCCCCCTCCCCAGCCTGCCCAGCCTCATCCTCCGGCCTCAAGCTTATCTCAACAACACCACACAGCTTCACCCAACTCTGTGCATCCATCCCACCCAGCCACAATGGCTAACTCAGCCTCCCAGCCCTCTTCCACTCCTATGGGCCCTTCCTCCCAACAAACCACATCCTCTGCACAGCCCCAGTCCCAACTCAATGGTCCTACCACACGGTCAGCTGCCCCTGAGGACCAGGTTCCCCAGTTGGAGGAAAAGCCATGGCTAGAGGAGGAAATGGAATCAGAGAAGGCAGCCAAAACACCACCTGCCCAACCAGAGGAGAAGCTCCCCATGGAGGAGAAGGAGGAGCAGTTTAACAAGAGCAAACCACCGACACCAGTAGAGGAAAAAGAGATGCCTCCTGAGAGGTAGGAGTGAAGGCTGAAATGGAATGAAATCAATTATTATCAATTGAATTAAAAAAAACAGTGGAAAAGAAATAACACATTCACCATCAACATCTAAAAAATGTTGTTTTTTTTATACAGTCCTCCAGCCACAGAGGAGCCTAAAGCTCCAGTAGATCCAGCAGTCAGAGCCAAAGAGAACTGGCTACGGCTCTACAACAAGGTCTTAGTGCAGCTTCACGAGGTAAAATCACAAGTTTATCTCACTCTCAGCCCAACTGATTTGAACCCTGCCCTCACTCCAAATTCCAGTCCAGTCCCAGAGCTGTAGGCCTCATCTAGTTCCACCTTGTAATCTAAAAAATATATACTTGAGTTCAAGAAACATTAAAAGTGTCTACTAAGTCTTTGAAATGTATGTATAGTGTATTATTTATGTGCAAAGCCTGGGCACATACGCAAAGTTCTTGAGTTCTATTTTGATAGTGTTTTTGCCAGGCACCAGAAAGCAGGCTCGATGTGTTTCATATTCTATACTGATACCTTGTGGTACCTTGGACAACCAGTCAGCCTTTTAGTTTGGGTGCAGCACCACACATTAGGTTTTGCACGGTCAGTTTTCACTTGCACGTTTTATTCATACATTATGTTGCTATTCATTACCTTTGAATTCAGTTGTGCAAACAATTAATCACTTGCTTCAATGTTTATGTTAATGTATGTTGCGTTTTTTTGCGCACTTGGCTTTCCTTCCTTTTGTCTTTTTGTTTGTGCCGACCCACTTTGTTTCCTTTCCAGTTTCATGTCATTGCCATAGCGACACTCACATGCACTTTACTCGGCCATCATTGCAGCATGCTGACAGGTAGGTACGACATGACTGGTTGCTTGAGAGAAAGAAGGAAATGTGTGCCAGAGATGTCTTGTTGAACTCTTGACTGTGTATAAACAGGCACTCCACTCATTCATCTACACGACAATTTGACCTTTTCTGTTGTAACTTGGATCAGCTGTCCTCCACTCTGATTAAAGCCACAGTAGTTCTGATTCTCCAAAGACATATTTAATGTCAAATTTAGCTAGAACTTAGCCCTTTGCATAGTTAACCATTTGATGTATTCTGTAATTTAAATAATGAGAATAACATTTATATACAACAGGTTTCTTTTTAATCCAAATTTATGCTTGCCTATGGATCATATGTCTTTGATTTATTTTTCAGTTGTACAAATGTTGTGATACAATAACATAAATGGGATAGGATTTTAGATGTGAAGAACCTGATAACGTAGATTCATAATCAGATAACTTTCATAACTTTATTCATGCAGTGTGAAGGCTAGAAAAGGATGTGGGGATAAATTTAAGATTACTTGTTTCTTCATTTGACATTCCTTCATTTTATCCACCAGGCTCGAGGAGAAACCTCCTGCTCGTTGTGGTTTGGTAAAGGGGGGTGAGTATCTGTTGTCATGTCCTCAGGTAATGGGCTTTCTCTGATAGAAAACACATTATATATATATTTTTTCAAATCATCAATGAAAAGTGTCATCACTGCTTTAGATTGAAAAACGCCTTTAGTCCAGGAATCCTCCGGTCTGTTTCATTCAGATCCACAGGCTCATTCAGCTCATGGCACTTGGCCAGTGAATATTGAATGGCGGTGGGTTGCCCTGACTTAGCTGGCAGGTCATTTGTAGATGAGGCAAACCTCATAGTGGAACTGAAGCTGCATACTGAAGAGGTGCTAAGTTGCACAATTATACTCAGGTAGGTGTGTGTGTGTGTGTGTCATTCCCACTTTTGGAGACAAGGCAGCCTGTCTAATTAAACTCTCCTGTAAAGTCCTTGGGAAGCCCTTGAATAGAGTGGTATTAAAAACAGTGATTGAGGTAAATACAGTTACACTGAACCGTATATGTGTGTGTGTGTGTGTGTGTGTGCTTGTTCGGACTCAGAAAAAGGCAGAACTTGGACTCAGGCTTGACCAGGTAAATGTATTTTAATAACTACTGAAATGAGAAGTGGTCAGAACCAGTCTGGTCAGCCAATCTCAGGGCAGCGGGGAGTGCTGGGTTGCCTGGACTGCTAGAGATACAATCCGAGGTTGTAGGAGAGGCGCAGCTGGCTAAAGAAAAGCAGAGGATGAGAATGAGTAACAGGGATGCTATGGTAATACCAATACTGATAGTTATACTGAGGACCTGAGTAGCAGAATTTACTGGTTCTAGGCAGGTGAGCACCGTAGGCATAGAACACAGTCCAGGGGAGGTGTAGGAGCTGGCACAGGAGATCACTGGTCCGACGTGCAGTACTACCGTTGTGGAAGGGGAGGATCAGGCTCGCAGCAGATGGCAGAGCAGGTAGTAGGATGGTGTGAGGAAGGCTGACAGTTGGGATCCAGAACTATGCAACCAGTCCCAGCAAGAGTTGGTCTCCTCGTCCTGAGGAGTGTCACCTGACGAAACAGTTCACAGTCCAGGCACCAAATGGTGCCAATACAAAATGGCTGAAACCACCGAGCAGATCCGGTCTTTAACACTAGTCCACAGAAAACTGTTCAAACAAAGTGACCCTTGAAAAAAACTATAAGGGCAATCAGTTCATTACTACCTGAAATTAGGTCCAACAACATAGAAAACAGTTCATACACAGGGAATCCTGGTCATGAGAGCAAAGACAGGTTACCGGCAGGAATACAAGAGATCATCTGGTGATGAGGACACACCAACGCCCCTTAAGTACTAGTCTGGTAATTGAGAGCAGGTGTGCCTCACCGCCTAGAATGCATTCCCACCTGTGTGGGGGGCGGAGCTACTGTGACAGCCCATGCCAGCTGATGAGGTGCTGGGGGTGGTCTGGGCCACGGACGTAACAGTGGCCCCACAGTAACAATACACGATTTCTTATTGTTTCCATTTTAATGATAGACTGTACTGATAAGCACATATGAATGTATAATCTATAACTGTTCTTATTCAGAATGGGAGGTGCACTCTACAGTATTGACAGCATGCCTGACCTTCGCAAGAGGAAAGCCATCCCTCTTGTCAGAGATCTGGTGAGAAACAAACATGGACACACACACACACAGTGACATTACAACCATCTGTTTTTCTGCCTCTTATACTTTGTACTTAGTTTTTCTTAGTTTGAAAATATCTAAAAACCACTGCTTCTCTGTTCTTCCCAGCATACCTTTATTTTTTATACAAAGTAATATGTACACACAAAGGCCCCATGTTGCCCCTTTCATAGACTGCTTGATTTGTTGATGAATTAAATCCTTCTACATCTGGGGTGTAAATATAATTACAATGATGAATCAAAACGTCACATTGCTTTCTTCTAGAGATCAGAGCACACCTGTCAGATGTGTAGGGAGGAGCACATATACACACACTGCATATACAGCTCATTGTTTGAAATGCCTAACCTTTCCTTCCCTACTTCCTTTTCTTTCCTCCTCTATTTCATCACTGCCTGGCATCATCAGGCGATGGTGAGTCCCTCTTTCTCCCCTACAGAAATTAAATACAAGTCCAAATTCTACACTGAAGTTCACATTCAGACACGTTTCTCTTTACCATCTTGTTCCCAGTCTCTAGTGCAGAACTCTCGTAAAGCTGGAATCACATCAGCCATGGCTTCCACCACTCTCGGCAATGAAGAGCTGGTGGGTTTCCACCTCACCGTTTTTTTTTCTTCACATTTCTCTTCAGGTTTTTCCAACTTCTAAACATATTTATTTTTCCATGCCACTTGCAGAAGAGCCATGTTTATAAAAAGACCCTACAGGCTCTGATCTACCCCATCTCCTCCACTACTCCACACAATTTTGAGGTGTGGACGGCCACCACCCCCACCTACTGCTATGAATGTGAGGGGCTACTGTGGGGTATCGCCCGACAAGGCATGCGCTGTTCTGAGTGTGGTGTCAAATGCCACGAAAAGTGCCAGGATCTGCTCAATGCCGACTGTCTACAGAGTAAGGATGCACAAATGTTTGCATACATGCACAGAAGGATAAATTCAAACATACATGCATCCAGGTGTTTTTTACCTGGGTGTACATACACCCAGTCCTCCACCGAGCCCTTAGCTCCTCCTCTGTATCCTTGTATTGACATCCCACTATTCTTGCCCTCTGTCCACTCTCACGTTCTCGTCCCCCTTCCTTTACAGTTTATCTCCTGAGTAATGTGCTGTCATACCCCTGCCTCTCTCCTTTCTCTCTTCTGTCCATAGCCTTTGCATCCATACTGCTTTATGTAGTTCAGCTCCGCAAGGAGTGACTTATCTTCCCTATCTTCTTGGATGCAATGCATAATTTACCGCTCTCCTATCTCCAAAGAGATCTTTGTTCCAAAACATCTCTTGGTCTTTTATACCCTGACTCCTGCTTTTTCCTGATCAGATCAGTGGTTAAGTGGATACAGTGTCCAACATATTATTGGGAGGTTTAGGGGTGTCCCTGGCGAGAGGATTTCAAAATTGATCTGATGCTTTCTTAACTTGGCACTCAGCTTTAAAGAGATGGATTGCAGGGAAACAGGAGATAAGCTCCTTCTTGTCTTATATATAATATGTTTTACTCTACTGCCTATTCATCTGTCATCCCTCTTTATTCATCTCTCTCATCAGGAGCTGCAGAGAAGAGCTCCAAGCACGGGGCAGAGGACCGAACCCAGAACATCATCATGGTTCTGAAGGACCGCATGAAGATCAGAGAGAGGAACAAGCCAGAGATCTTTGAGCTGATACAGGAAGTGTTTGGCCTCGACAAAGCGACACATGCCACGCATATGAAACAGATCAAGCAGAGCGTGCTTGACGGTACCTCCAAATGGTCAGCAAAGATCAGCATCACTGGTGAGTTTGTCCTTATCTGAATTGAGGATTTAGAGATAGAGAGTGACATGAGTTGTACAGATTTTAAAATGCATGTAGGCATAGTAGTGAGTTCCTTCTTATGGATTAAATAAATATAACTTATCTGCTGTCCATAATTATTATTTGTGATGTCATGACACCTGGCAATATTGCTGCTGTTGTTTCTTTATTATTTATATACAATGCTTTTCCAACAAAATGTTTTATCCATTAGAAAAGAGAAGTGTTGAACAATAAAATAAAATATATGTTTCCAGACAGTTGCCAAAGTGTTTGTTTAAATGTCTCGGTCTCCCTGTCAGTGGTTTGTGCTCAGGGCCTGCAGGCTAAAGACAAAACAGGATCCAGTGACCCGTATGTCACAGTTCAAGTTGGGAAGACCAAGAAGAGGACCAAGACCATCTACGGCAACCTCAACCCTGTCTGGGAAGAAAACTTTCACTTGTAAGTACAGCAAGAAGCTTGTAGCACATTCGAATGCTGATAGGTCATTATATGTTACTGTAGTGGATGGTGTAGCCTTCCAATGTAGTGTTATGTCTCAAAACAATTAGTTTTAAGACCCCCCCCCCCCCCCCTTTTTTTATGTTTTTGGATCATGAGGTACTTGGAAACGAGTGTATTTCCCCCAGTTCCTCCACATCACACATTGGTCCTCTGTATCACAGTTGTCAGCATCTCCTGTTTGCTAACATTTTCTGCTTCTGCCTCATCCAGTGAATGTCACAACTCATCTGACCGCATCAAGGTCCGTGTGTGGGACGAAGATGACGACATCAAGTCTCGTATGAAGCAGAGGTTCAAACGTGAGAGTGACGACTTCCTCGGTCAAACCATCATTGAAGTTCGCACTCTGAGCGGGGAGATGGACGTTTGGTACAACCTTGGTGAGCTTTGTGAGATAAGGGAAAAGGCGATGGTGAGAGATGACATGAGCAGCAAGTCACACAGAGATAACAGAAGAAGAAACAGATAGCAAAGTGCTTGTCTCTTGTGGCTAGAACAGATTGCAGCCAGCTAAGGAGGCGTGTATATCTTACTTTCATCTCACAGATAAGAGAACAGATAAGTCTGCTGTGTCGGGGGCCATCCGGATGCACATAAGCGTGGAGATCAAAGGAGAGGAGACAGTGGCTCCTTACCATGTCCAGTACACCTGTCTACATGAGGTGAGTCTGATGGGACATCTTACAGAAATCTTCCAAATGTTGTTGTGATATTAAACATTACATCTGCAAGAGTTAACTAGTTCCAGTCAGTTTAATTCAAGGTTTCTTATCAACACTCTCAATCACCTTGTAAATTCTCTGTTTTTGCGTTTGTCCTCTGAGAAAATTTTTCTTTTTGCAGTTGGCATCAATAGTAATTTTGTAAATACACTTTGTAAAGTATGCTTCAGATTAAAATTAATACAAGAACAACTACTACTAGTGCTACTATACTGCCACTGCTGAGACACAAAACAAGCTTAAGAGTCCTTTCTCTCTGTTTAGCATCTGTTCCAGTACACCACTGAGGAGCAGAACGGTGGCGTGGTAAAGATCCCTGATGCCAAAGGGGATGATGCCTGGAAGGTGTATTTTGAGGAGACAGCTCAGGAAATAGTGGATGAGTTTGCCATGAGATACGGAGTAGAATCCATCTACCAGGCCATGACGTCAGTCCCTCTAACATTACACTGAAATTGAAATTAGAATTGTTGGGTTTTGCTTTTTGACACACAGTTACTGGACATAGTTTGTTTATTCATCAATGAAGAGGTATCAGGAACAAGTAAATGTACTAAATGTTGTTTGTTCCACCTCCACCCCACAGCCACTTTGCCTGCTTGTCTTCTAAGTACATGTGTCCAGGAGTGCCAGCTGTGATGAGCACCCTGCTGGCCAATATCAACGCTTACTACGCCCACACCACCCAGTCCTCCAACAATGTGTCTGCTTCAGACAGATTTGCTGCATCAAACTTTGGTGTGAGTCCCTGAGAAATACTTGAGTAATATTTTATCCCTTCTCCACAGACGTGACTAGACTACTCTAAAATGCCTCATATTGTTAATGAAAAATGGTGCTGTATACTTCAGAAGATAATATCACTAACTGTTGGTCCCTCTAAGACTGTCGATGAAAATCAGTTTAACATGGTCCTGCCTACTTCATCAAGCTGAGTCTCGACAGATCCACCCTTGGTTTGCGTAGTCAAATGCTAACAAACAGACTGTCAACTGTAGTGACGTTTCTGAGTGGTTCGTGTCTTTTCCTGTTTAGAAAGAGAGGTTTGTCAAACTGCTGGATCAGTTGCACAACTCCTTGAGGATCGACCTGTCCATGTACCGGGTACTGACTTCTTCTTTTTATTATGACAAACTCAGGAACATTTTGTTTTCTAAATTGCTTCCTGCTATAGTCTTTTCATTGCACTTTGAGAACTGTCCGCTGTTGGCCACGTCTGTCTCTGCCATTTCTGTTTGTACTTGTATGACAGTCTGTTTTGGGACAGAGATGAACGTGTCAATGATATTTATTTTCTTTACCTGACAACCTGTAGAAAGAGTACATTAAACTTGAGTGAACTTTCTGTGCACTGTCTAATCATTACTTTGTGTGTTTCTAAATGTGCTTTCAGAATAACTTTCCTGCCAGCAGTCCTGAACGGCTACAAGATCTCAAGTCTACTGTTGATCTCTTGACTAGCATAACATTCTTCAGGATGAAGGTAAGGATGAATGAAAGATGGATCATTTTTCTTTTCATGTCTTTTCATATTAGCACTTACTCCAAAATAAACATGGTATACATTTACAGCACTTTCTGGAAAGTAGCCTGAGGCACAGACTAAGAATCAGTTTAACATTACCCTATCTAAACTGAAGCTATTATCATGAAACTGTCTCTGAGTGCTCCTGTATTACTCACATGGTGGGGGCTTGTCCTTCCTCATGCTGGTCCCCACTGTGTAAATCATAGAGTTTTAAGGTGATGACTTGTTATAGTGAGTTTAGGTTAAGTGTTAGGCAAGTATCAGTGTCAAGGAAATGAATGTAAGTCAATGTAAAGTCTCCACAAGGAATGAAAACGTGTGTGAGGGAGTTAATGTACATTGCTATGATTTGTGCATCTCAGCGAGGTTATGGTTAAAGTCCCACTGAGATAACGCCCCGCTGAGACTGTGTGTGTCTGACAGACACTTTGAGTTGTTCTCGATTCAGCCAAATGTTTTGTAACCTTTCCGTTCAGGTCCAGGAGCTGCAGAGTCCCCCCAGGGCGAGCCAGGTGGTGAAGGACTGCGTGAAAGCTTGTCTCAACTCCACATACGAGTATATTTTCAACAACTGCCATGACCTCTACAACAGGGAATATCAGACAGATCCTGTAAGTGTGTGTGTGTGTGAGAAGCAAAAGTACTGTGTGTGCACAGATGTTGCCGTTACAGTATTCCTGCCATTTAGCGCATCTACCGTGCCTTCACCCCACTACCACGAAGAAATTCTTGATGGATGCAGCTGTTAAGATATAAATCCATAACCTCATTCTGTCTCCAGTCAAAGGCGGTCCCTCCAGATGAGCAGGGTCCCAGCATCAAAAACCTGGACTTCTGGTCTAAACTCATCACTCTCATTGTCTCCATCATAGAAGAGGACAAAAACTCCTACACTCCTTGCCTTAATCAGTGAGTCTTTGCTCATAACCTCAAATGTATCATGAAGGCGCAGTATTGGAAATTTGAAGGCCAGTTTAGGAGAACTCAAGGCTTTAAAATGCAACAGCTCTATGAGTTTTGTTCATAGATAAAAATGCAAAGCAGTAGAACATGAGGAGGGAAGTGTCAGAGCATTAAGAGAAACAGAAACAGGATAAATAGCCACACAAACCTCCTTTGTTTGTTTTGAAGCCAGAAAATGTAGCAACAATTGATGAGAAAAGTAAACCATAAAAAAACTAAGCTTCTGTATTAGACTGTAATTTCCTTAGAAATGTGATTATAATTTCAATTTCTTTCTGTATTATAATTGCTTTGTATGTTTGCACTTACAATGTGCCTTGACAGTAGACTCGTTTATGTATACAAGCAAGTCAAACACGTACAACAGCTGCTTTGGTGTTTGAGGCTAGTTTGGGTTTGTAACTCACACCACTTTTTCAAACTTAATAATAATGACTTTCTAATTTCACATTTTCTCTGGTACACTTTTATTTCTGTGGCAACACACAGAAGAAGCACTGATGAAATTAAATGAAACTGAGCTAGGTTATCTTGTTAAATAATAAAGTATCATTAGTGGGTCTAGAGCTGTATCTAAGCCCGAGTACTGCCTCTTGTAGGTTTCCCCAGGAGCTGAATGTGGGCAAGATCAGTGCCGAGGTCATGTGGAATATGTTTGCACAAGATATGAAATATGCAATGGAGGGTAAGCTTTTCTGAACATGTGTTGTTGGATTGATAAGCAACAGGACTGGAAACGAGAGAGGAGCTATTACTGTGTATGTGTGTGTGTGTGTGTGTGTGAAAACTTACGTGAGTGAAGACATTTTGGCCGGTCCTCGCTTTCTCGTACCCCTACAAAGGGCTGTGTGACAGTTAATGCTTGGTTTTGAGGTTAAGGATTAAATTGTGTTTAGGTTAGAGTGAAGGTTGGCATTTAGCTGTGATGGTTAAGGGTTAGGGAATGCATTATGTTAGTGAGTAACTACTGTATTATGAATATAGAGAAAGAGTGATGAAGCAAATCTGTTTGTTGCTTCTTTGTCTTTGATACTCAGAGCATGAGAAGCACCGCCTGTGTAAAAGCGCCGACTATATGAACTTGCACTTCAAGGTGAAGTGGCTCTATAATGAGTACTGCAAGGAACTGCCCACTTTCCAGAAGCATGTACCTGATTATCCAGCGTAAGTATTTGATAAATAGCATTTGCAGATTTCCTTCTGCATTTATGACTGTGGCATAAACACTCATGTCGCCTCTCATTCTTTGCTCTGCAGCTGGTTTGAGCCGTTTGTCATCATGTGGTTGGATGAAAATGAAGAAGTGTCCAGAGATTTTCTCCATGGAGCCCTGGAGAGGGACAAAAAAGACGGGGTAACTGTTTTCAACTGTAACATTTATATGCACCATACAGACAAAACAGTGGTCTAGGTCATCTTACCTAATGCTCTGCAGGAAGAGGAATATGTTTATTTCCCCAAATGTCAAACTAGTCTTTTAACAAAAAATGGCAGCTTTTTACAGCATGTGCAGAAAAAATTGTTGAACTTGGAAACAGGTGGTCCTGTGCAAATAAAGTTTGAATAAAAGTCACCAATCAAATCCTACTGAGACGACAATAAAATACAGAATGAACAGTTAAATTTTGGCCTTGTACCTGCACCCCCTCCCAAAAATGTATTCATGTACTTCTCATTCACATTCAGGCAGTTCGTATCTTCTCCCCTGACTACCCTCATTCCAGGCTGAGAAGTGCATTTTGAAGGCCTCAAGGCAATCAGTAATGATTCAATACCAAAGGCAAAAAAAATAAAAAATTCACTGCAGAGAAGAGCAGATGCTACTGCACGAGTCAATGTACACACACACACACACACACACACACACACACACACACACACACACACACACACACACACACACACAGTCACTCACTCTCT